GATCATATGCTACTTCCTGAAACAGAAGAGCATCAACCATTCTTTTTGGTACAGTGACTGTGTATTCCTTCCATCTTCTTTTGATGTTTCCTGCATCATTCAATTTTTGCCCATAGGATCTTTCAATACTGCAACTCAAGGCTTAAATTTTTTCTTCAGTTCTTTCAGCTTGAGAAATGCTGTGTGTGTTCTTCCCTTCTGGTTTTCTAACTCCAGGTCTGTGCACATTTCTTTATAATAACTGACTTAGTCTTCTTGAGCTGCTCTTTGAAATCTTCTGTTCAGTTCTTTTATCTTGTCATTTCTTCTATTTGCCTTAGCTACTCTCTGCTCAGAGTCTCTTCTGACCTCCATTTTGTTTCTTTTCTTACTTTCTTGTCTTTTTAATGATCTTTTGCCTTCTTGATGAATGATGTGCTTGATGTCATCCCACAATTCCTTTGTTTTTTGACCAAAAACCAAATTAGTGTTCAATGCATCAAATCTTTTCTTTAGATGGTCTCTAAATTCAGGAGGGATATAATCATGGTCATATTTTGGCTCTCCTGGACTTGTTTTAATTGTCTTCAACTTCACCTTGAACTTGCATATGAGCAATAGATAGTCTGTTCCACAATCAGCTCCTAGCGTTGTTTTGGCTGAAGATACTGAGGTTCTTCATTGTCTCTTGGCACAGATGTAGTAGATCTGATTCCTGTGCAATCCATCTGGTGAAGTCCTTGTGTATAGATGCTGTTTGTGTTATTGAAAAAAGGTATTTGCAATGAATAAGTTGTTGCTCTTGCAAAATTCTATCATGCAATCTCCAGCATTATTTCTACCAACAAGGCCAAATTTTCCGACTACCGGTGATTCTTCTTTGTTTCCAACTTTTGCATTCCAATCACCAGTGATAATCAGCACATTTTGATTGCATGTTCAGTCAATTTCAGACTGCATAAGTTGGTAAAAATCTTCAATTTCCTCATTTTTGGCTTTAGTGTTTGGTGCGTAAATTTGAATAATAGTAGTATTAACTGGCTTTCCCTGTAGGCATATGGATATTATCACTGATAGCATTGTACTTCAGGATAGATCTTGAAATATTCTTTGTGCTTATGAATGCCACTCCATTCCTCTTCAATTTATCATTCCCAGCATAGCAGATCATATGGTTGTCTGATTCAAAATGGCCAAAACCGGTCCATTTCAGCTCACTAATGCCTAGGATATCAATCTCCATGCGTTTCATTTCCTTTTTGAACTTTCAATTTTCCTAGATTCATACTTCATATATTCCATGTTCCAATTATTAATGGATGTTTGCAGCTGTTTCTCCTCAGTTTGAGTCATGCCATGTCAGCAAATATAAGTCCTGAAAGCTTTACTTTATTCATATGAATAAGGTCATTTCTACTCTGATGAGGCAGCTCTTTCCCAGTCGTATCTTGAGTGCCTTCCAACCTGAGGGGCTCAACTTTCAGTACTGTATTGGACAATGTTTTAAGGCTATTCATAAACTTATTCAGTAATGTATCAGACAGTGTTTCTCTGCTATTCATAAGGTTTTCCCTGGCCAATTCTCTGAGAAGTGGATGGCCTCTTCCTTCTTCTGAGTCTGAGAGGCTCACACCACTGCTGGATTGGCAGGCATGCGGGAGTGCAGAAGAAGAGCAAAGCTGGAACCGGCCAAGAGTCTGTGCTCAGCTAGGCTGGTGGTAATACTCACCCACAATGACTAGCATTCGGTGCTCTGGGGCTTCCAACATGCATTTGCTGTCCCTCAGCAAACCTCTGTGCACATGCCAGAGAGCAATCCAGCCACTGAGTTCCCCACTCTTGCCATATTCGCCGCAACACACCTCTAGAAAGAGCTCATACCTTGGAACTTCCATCCGTACTAGGTGTTCTTCCCTTCTCCCTCGATCCCCAAGCCCTCTGCTGCTCCAGTACTAGACTTTCCCCCGACCCATCCATGTGCAGCACCCTTAGCCTCTTCCATCTCACAGATTCCCTGCAGTTTAAGTTTACTCAATTAACAAGGCCAAATTCTGCCCATCTGGGTCTGTGAAGCACCCTCACCCTCACATTTGCACTCTTCTCTCTCTCTGTCCTCATATCCAGTTATTGATTTCTCACCCGAGAAATAATTCAGTAACTTCCTCTACCTCTGCTTGTCCACCACAACTGTCCTTTTTCAGAACTTCATATTCATCCACTTGTTCAACCCATATCATGACAGTCACTGGAAAACTGCTACTATGAACTCAGGTTTCTATTTTATTCAATGGGTTCATTCATTACTATTGTTATTTATTTCCATGTTTGATGGAGACATGACAAAAAGCCAAGTTGGGATAACTTGAGAATCAAAATAAATAATGATAGGCATTATTAATCACCACAGTAATAATTTATTTTGGCAAGAATCATCAACAGATGGAACACTGTTGTTGTTGTTGTTATATGCCCTCAAGTCAGACCCGACCCA